GATCGGGGAGAGCTGGGCCTGTGGGTCCCTGCAAGGCAGGCAGTTGATGCACGCTTTCTTCTGTAGGTGGATCCCCTCTCAGAAGAAGGCTGGAAGCAGAAACCCAACCTCAATGCCATCCGCTCCCTGGAAGCTGTGATCCGAGTGCACAGTGAGTGTGGAGAGAGGACACTGTTGACCCCAGACTTGGGGAAAACTCGGGGGTCTGTTGCCCCCAGGGACCAGAGCCCCAGGTCTTCCAACCCCAGCCAGGCCAGGGGAGCTGCTGCTGCTTCAGAATAGGCATCCTGTAAAGTACCCCTTAGTAATGGGGGGCAGGTGCCTCCACAGGTGAATACCCTTGGAGCCTTCCAGATGGACCCAGCAGGGACCGGCAGACAGTGGGGACCAGGCAGGACTGGCCTCCCTTCCCCAGCCGCCGCCCTAGGCCAGGCCCCTGCCCCCAGCAGCACTCAGGCCTTGTTTGTGGAAGTGTTGGTTCCCACCCTGACCCTCAGTTCTGGCCACAGGATCTTACGAACTCTACCTGCTTTGGGAGCTGGGTCCTAGGTTAACTCCTCATTTGGAAAGCACTTTAAATTTTCAACTTCAGCTCAGCATCTATGGAGCACTTTATATGCTACCCATGATCTGTGCAGTGTGTGTGTGAGTTGCTCAGTCGTGTCCACCTCTTTGAGACTCCATGGACTGTAGCCCTCCAGGCTCCTCTGCTCATGGAATCCTCCAGGCAAGAATACTGGAGTGGGTTGCCATTTCCTCCTCCAGGGGATCTCCCTGACCTAGAGATCAAACCTGGGTCTTCTGCATTGCAGACATACTCTTTACCGTCTGAGCTACTAGGGAAGCCCCATGATCTATGCTAGGGATACAAAGATGAATAAAACAGATTTCCCACATCTGGGTTCAGCATGGTCATACATGACACTGAAGGTGCTGCTATACTTGGCATGGAGCCCTCACACTGGCCAGGCTCTGTGCTGGGCATGTTCCATGGACATTATGTCTCACAGCAATAGGCAGGATGGTCATGTCCATGGTCTGGATGCGGCAGTGGGAGCCCTGGGCAGATAGGTGGCTTCCGACGGCCACCCAGAGCAGCTGCAGTGTTGGCCAGTTCTCCCGGTTCTGTGTCCTTCCCACCTCCCCTGTCCTGTGCGGGGCTGAGCACTGCTGGGGTCTTCATGTGAGGGGGACCCTGCGCTCCAGGAGGCTGGGACTCGGGGCTCTGTGATGTCACGGTGATGCCGACCCCATCCAGGGGAAGGAAGCCCAGGTGGTGGTCATGGAAACCCTACACCCACTACCCCTTAGTAATGGGGGGCAGGTGCCTCCACAGGTGAATACCCTTGGAGCCTTCCAGATGGACCCAGCAGGGACCGGCAGACAGTGGGGACCAGGCAGGACTGGCCTCCCTTCCCCAGCCGCCGCCCTAGGCCAGGCCCCTGCCCCCAGCAGCACTCAGGCCTTGTTTGTGGAAGTGTTGGTTCCCACCCTGACCCTCAGTTCTGGCCACAGGATCTTAGGAACTCTACCTGCTTTGGGAGCTGGGTCCTAGGTTAACTCCTCATTTGGAAAGCACTTTAAATTTTCAACTTCAGCTCAGCATCTATGGAGCACTTTATATGCTACCCATGATCTGTGCAGTGTGTGTGTGAGTTGCTCAGTCGTGTCCACCTCTTTGAGACTCCATGGACTGTAGCCCTCCAGGCTCCTCTGCTCATGGAATCCTCCAGGCAAGAATACTGGAGTGGGTTGCCATTTCCTCCTCCAGGGGATCTCCCTGACCTAGAGATCAAACCTGGGTCTTCTGCATTGCAGGCATACTCTTTACCGTCTGAGCTACTAGGGAAGCCCCATGATCTATGCTAGGGATACAAAGATGAATAAAACAGATTTCCCACATCTGGGTTCAGCATGGTCATACATGACACTGAAGGTGCTGCTATACTTGGCATGGAGCCCTCACACTGGCCAGGCTCTGTGCTTGGCATGTTCCATGGACATTATGTCTCACAGCAATAGGCAGGATGGTCATGTCCATGGTCTGGATGCGGCAGTGGGAGCCCTGGGCAGATAGGTGGCTTCCGACGGCCACCCAGAGCAGCTGCAGTGTTGGCCAGTTCTCCCGGTTCTGTGTCCTTCCCACCTCCCCTGTCCTGTGCGGGGCTGAGCACTGCTGGGGTCTTCATGTGAGGGGGACCCTGCGCTCCAGGAGGCTGGGACTCGGGGCTCTGTGATGTCACGGTGATGCCGACCCCATCCAGGGGAAGGAAGCCCAGGTGGTGGTCATGGAAACCCTACACCCACAGGGATGGGTCAGCCGAGGGGGTGGGGGAGTGGCCTGGGCTTTGTGAGGGCGCCTCACTGCACCCTGCACCCTCAGTTGCTCACAGTTGGGGGGATCAAGTCTGGGAGGGTGTTGTGTGGAGGTGGAGGCAGCTGAGAACTGACCCCATGCCGAGGACACGCCTGCTACTCTGGGGCCCTTGCCCTCAGATGTCCAGCCTCAGTACCAGTCTAGGACATGTGGCTGGCAGGTGGGGGGCCTCGTACCCCCGACTGTTTCTGAATCAGCTTCTTGCCCAGGTGAATACTGGGGCTGCATGCAGCGCCTGGCCTCCCGTCCAGACTCCTGGGTGCACAGGGTGCCAGGGGCCGACGCAGAAGAAGTGGAGGCAGTGACGGCGCTGGCATCCCTCTCTGTGGGCATCCTGGCTGAAGAGCGGTAAGAGCCTGGGCTGACGGCCCCTCCCCTGCGGGTATCCCCCCAGGTCCCGGCACAGCCACTTCAGGCTTCTCAGGAAGCTGGGCCCCGGCCCGCCCCAGGCCCCAGGCCCCAGACCCTCTGGCAGCACCACCCTTGTCCCTCCCCCAGGACCTCAGGGCAGCTGGTGGAGGAGGAGGAACCCATGAATCTCTGAGGCTCCAGAACGGATCTGCCACCCGCTGCGCCCTGCCCCGCCCCGCCCCGCGGACCTGGTTCTCCTCCAACTTCGGGCAGCAGTACCAGTTCCCGGGGTCTTCAGAGATCCTTCGGGCAGGTAGTCGGGGCCAAAGAACAGCCTTGACAGTCACCCAAGGACCCTGAGAAGGCCCGGGGCCTAGGACAGGGACCAGAGGACCTTGGAGGAGGCAGGCTGCGCGGCCAGCCAGGCCCCGGTAGACGTCTCCCCAATGCAGAGTCTTCCCCTCTGGGTCCCGGCCCCAAGCGGGGCCCGGCTCCTCAGGACTGCACAGAGGAGGACTGGGTCAGCTGGACCCAGCCCATAACCACTATTCTAGGCTCTGTAGACCCGGGACTTTGCACACAGCCCCAGGCTTCACACAGAAATGTGAACGTGGCCTCTGCCGGAGTGGCCCTTCCTAGGCTCTGGGGGCTGGAGTCGGGGGAGGGAGGAAGGTTAGGAGGAGCCGAGGGGTCCCGTGTCCCTGGGTGCTGGGGAGTTCCTCCTCTCCTGCTCCCTCGGATGACTCTGGAAGCTTCTCCCCACCACGGGGCAGTGAGGCAAAGCCCCCTCTGAGAGCAGGCACGGCAGGCCTCCCATCTGGTCCCTGCCCCTGCCAGAGGACTCCCTGCATCCACCATCTCAGTGCCCTGGGGGAGCAGACAGGTGCTCTTGGAGTTCCGTGCTTCCTGATCCAATGGTGCCAAACCCTTCATCTCCCCTCAGAAGCACAGCATGACCCCCCAGGGCTCCCTCAGTCACCACACCCCTCCGTGAGCCTTCTCTCTTTCTGGGGTCTCCGGGACCCCAGCTGACTCTTGCCCTACATAGGACTAGCTTGGCTAAGGGGAGAGTGGGTGGGAGAGTGGATGGAAGACATGGGGGGGGGGCTACCCTGGCAGAGTCTTCGAGGCTTCTGGGGTTGAGGCCTGGGGCCACGAAGGAAAGTATTTGTGTGTGTGTGTGTGTGTGTGTGTGTGTGTGTGCGTGAGTGAAAGAGTAAGAGGGAGTGTGTGTGCGTGCAAGCGCGTGTGTCTTCCCCAGGACCACTATACCCTGTGTATGTATGCATGTTTTTTTGTAAAAAAGAAAAAAAAATGGAAAAAAATCTGAATAATAAATGTTTTATTTGCTTTAAAGGTGCATGTGAAAGGGCCTCCGGGGGATGAGGGGTGGGCAATGGGCCTACAGCTACACAGCACAGTTTATACCTGATTCGATGTGGAAGAGAAGGGACGGGTTGGGCTGGGAGGCAGCTCCCTCCAGCTCCTTGATCTGTGGCAGCTGCCTTGCAGGAAGAATCTATCCTGAACCCACCCTGGCTGTCTCCTCCTGCCGCACCTCTGGGTAACAGTGAGGCAGTAGCTCTGGGTCCTCACAGCTCTGGGACTGGTTAAGGGGTGGGGCCAGGGAGGCCTGCAGACCCACTCACTCGGGCTTCCCTAAAGAGTCTCAGTCCCAACTGGGACCGGTAAGTCACGTCAGGTAAGTCACATCACCTCCTGGGGCCTCTGTTTATCAGCTGAAGGCTCCTGAAATAGACACTGTTGGGTTCCTGCCTGCTCTAATGTACCTTGACTCTTTAAGCATCTACTGAGCCTAGAAGAGAAAATGGTGAGATGACAGGACGGGGCACGCTCACCCACTGTGAGGTGCTGGGGCTGCTGGCGCCTGTCTTTACAGTTCCGACACGGCCAGGCTTCTTCAGGCAGCAGAAGCAGCAGCCTCATTAGCTAGGATCTGGCCTCAAGTCCTCCGAACCTGGAGAGCACAAGGAAAGCGTGTCTACCCCTTCTATCCTGGCCTCTTGGGCGACAGGCATTGCTGAAGCTGTGCCCCGGGGCATCCTCACCCTGGTTGGGGGTGTGCTGAGGGGGCTGGAGGAGGAGCGCTGGGCTGGGGGTTCCCCCATGGGGAGTCCCTCAAGTGGGACCAGGGGGAGAGAACCTCCTCTGTTACGGAAATGGCTTAATGAGACAACTGGAGAGCCCCCCATCCCCACCCTTCCCACCCACTGCTCCCAGTCCACCCCGCAAGAAAGCACTGGAGGCTGGCTGATATAAATGGCCACTGTACTTGTGCTAAAGTGACGGTGACACAGATAAGGCAGAGAGCCGAGGGGCAGGACACATCGGGTGGGAGAGGGGTGGACCGTGCACAATGGCAGCCGAAGAAAAGATTGATGGAGCCCCTTCCCTCCCGAGCGCGGTGAGCCCTTGGGCCAGTGTATAGGCAGTAGAGCAGATTTCGTCTTTCGGAAGGGGGACTTGGAAAGATAAAAAGCTCTCATGAAGGGCAGCTGGCAGGGGCGGTGCGGGGTGGGGGTGGGGGACTCGGGTGCCAGGAGGAGTGCCAGGTATGAGAGGAAATGTTGGGCTCTAGAAGCCTCTGCTTCTCGCCCAAGCTGTGCTGCCCCCTTCCCTAAAGCCCTTTGGGGGGCAGGAGCACCTCCCCCAAGACCGTGAGTCTGGCCTCATTTGGGGCATCCTGCTCTGATGTACGTGGTGAAGGGGCGCCGGCTCTAGCACGATCTTGGAGCCAGCGCTGTGGGAACAGGGTGGGGAGAGGGATGCTGAGGCCCCCCCCAGGTCCCCAGGCCTCGGGAAAAGAGAGCCAATGTCACCCACCCCTGGGACCAGTGAGTTCAACTACCTGACACTTGGGGGACACAGGGATGAGGGTGCTGGGGTGGGGGGTTGAGAAGTCTCTACTAGAGATCCCTTATCTGACCTGACCTCCCCAGGGTCCCACCCTGCCTGAGGGAGAAGGCCCGGGGCAGCAGAGACCATACGGCCTGCCCCTGGGCCCCGGGCACCGCCAAGGCCCCACTGCCTTCACTGTTGCCCTGGCCTGCTTACAAGGACTGCCCACTGAGTGCTAAGAAAATAGATCCACGTTTTAAAGGTCTAAAGCTGCCCTCCAGCCAGGCTGATGAGCAGCATGGCAGGACCCCTTCCCACAGCACCCAGGGCTCCCCCGAAAGGGACAGGACAGCTTCATGGAGACCACCATCCGTTGTCCTGCTGTGTATTTTCCGCCTCCGTTCTGGGGTTCCCAGGGGGTGTACAAGTCCGCCTGATGTCTCAGAGGCTGAGTCCAGGTCCTGAGGACTGTCGGGGTGCAGAGCCCTCATCCCGTGGGGTCAGAAATCGCTGAGGATGCTAATGTCAGCAAAGTCAGCCCGGTAGCGGTGGGCGTAGAGGCTAAGCAGGAAGGCCCACTTGAAGGAAATGAAGCTCCAGACACAAGAGAGGTAGTAGCTGTTGGGGTCTGTGAGGCCTGCAGGGCAGAAGAATCCAACTGTGACTCAAGAGGACCTTGCCCTTGACCCCTAGCCACCACGCCACAAGCCCCGGGCCATTCTTCCCCACAGTCTCCAACAGAGGCTGAACCGATCCAGTGGAGAGATCAGGTATAATAGAGGTTCCGGAGCATTCAGAGTTTGCCAGCAGGAAGCAGTGGGGATGAGGCTAGGTCAGGGCTGGCTAATCAGAGGTCTGTATCATCATCCACTCTGCTATTGTGACACTGACCTTAGACCTCTACCTTCCAATGTGCTTCAGCATTGGAGCGGGCAGAAAGGGCCTTTGGCTACTTGCAGACTGCAGCCACCAGGGGGCGCTCCCATCCCGGAGCTGGGCGGGAGGCTAAAAGGCGCTGCTAACCGCAGACTCCTGGGTGCTGACTGCAGCTCACAGTTCCCTCTTCTAACACAGGGGCGGAGGGGGGGCGGGGTCCATTCTCCCCAGCTTAACAATGAGAAAACGCCGGCACAGGGAAGTTAAGTAATCTGCCCAGGCTTGTGGGCATAAACGTTGGACTTAGCAAGGTAATCCTGGGATCTACTGAGCGCCCCACCCACACTCTCTCCGCCCCGGCGGAAGCCCTTACTCTGGTGTCCAGTGATGGCCAGCACCAGGAAGGTGCAGAACGTGGCGACGGAGACGGCCGAGAAGAGCACGCCCACGAAGAAGAAGCCGCGCAGCCCCTTGAGCCACGTCCTCCAGTAATCCTGCATGTACATCACGTGCGTCACCAGCACCCACAGCGCCAGCACACCTGCCGGGGAGAGAGCGAGAGACTCAGGCAGGGGCCCTTTCGTCCTCAACCTGCCGACCCCCGGCGCCCTGCGGGTCCCCCAGGCCAAACAGTTCTCACAAAAAAAACAGTAAGGTAGTATGGGCCTTTTCTCCGTCCCTGTTGAGTGGAGTTTGCTGGAGTCCACAGTGGCCTGTGATGTAAAGAGGACATGAATGCAAAAGCAGCTGAGAGATTCTGGCTGCCTTCCAGTAAGCCAGACATTAAAGAGATTTGCAAAACTATGAAACCATGTCGTTCTCCTTAGTTTTTTGTTTTGGAAAACCTGAGTATTTCTTACCAAAAATTTGTTACTTATCACAATGTTATTTTTAATATTATAGGTTAAAATGATTAAGAATTTTTAATTCCTCAGTATTAATTTCTAATACAGCACATCTTGATAGATATAACCCACATCAACAACATTTCCTTGGGGTTTCTCCACATTTTAAGAGCATACAGGGGTCCTGAAGTCAGACAATTTGAGGACCACTGCAGTCCAACCTGCCTTCCAAGGACTGCCTACTACCCAACCTGGGGGCCAGAGATGTGGGGGCATTGCTCCCACCCTGGTGCTGCTCCTGGGCTTTCCAGGAGGCTCAGCAGTAAAGAATCTGCCTGCGATGTAGGAGACGCAGGTTCGATCCCTGGGTCGAGAAGATCCCCTGGAGAAGAGAATGGCAACCTACTTCAGTATCCGTGCCTGGAGAATCCCATGGACAGAGGAGCTTGGTGGGCTAAAGTCCATAAGGTCACAAAGAGTCAGACATGACTGAGTGACTAGCACTTCTTCTGATGCTCCTGCTCCCCCACCTTCAGAGGCCACCACCACCACATTGAAAGGCTAATGGTGCGGGCAGTGGGGCTCTTCCCCACTCCATGTATTGGTTTTATGGGATGGGGAGGCCCAGTGGTAAAACCCCCAGGACCACCCAATGCCCAAGTGGCCGCCTTCTTGCTCTTGGCCAGACTCTGTTTTATTTATTTATTTGGCTTGCCATGTGGCATTCAGGCTTGTAGTTCCCTGACCAGGGATCAGTCCATGCCCCCAGCAGTGGAAGCTCGGAGTCTTGATCACTGGACTGCCAGGGAAGTCCCCTGCTAGACTCCACTTCCTAAGTTGTTTGCTGAAAGGGCAGGCCAGTTGCCCCCAGCCGGCCCTAGGTTTGCCCTCTGGGCCTGGCCAGGCTCTTCCCCTCCAATGCCAGCTGCCAGTCAGCCAATACAATGAGTGCCCTCTGTGCCAGGCGCTGCCTGCCACCGCAGCCCAAAGAGAGAAGCAAATATTAATTCCATTGGCAAGGGTCTGGGGCAGAGCTGCAGGGTCCCGACAAGGGAGGAATGAGGTATCTGCCCAGGCTTGTGGGCATAAACGTTGGACTTAGCAAGGTAATCCTGGGATCTACTGAGCGCCCCACCCACACTCTCTCCGCCCCGGCGGAAGCCCTTACTCTGGTGTCCAGTGATGGCCAGCACCAGGAAGGTGCAGAACGTGGCGACGGAGACGGCTGAGAAGAGCACGCCCACGAAGAAGAAGCCGCGCAGCCCCTTGAGCCACGTCCTCCAGTAATCCTGCATGTACATCACGTGCGTCACCAGCACCCACAGCGCCAGCACACCTGCCGGGGAGAGAGCGAGAGACTCAGGCAGGGGCCCTTTCGTCCTCAACCTGCCGACCCCCGGCGCCCTGCGGGTCCCCCAGGCCAAACAGTTCTCACAAAAAAAACAGTAAGGTAGTATGGGCCTTTTCTCCGTCCCTGTTGAGTGGAGTTTGCTGGAGTCCACAGTGGCCTGTGATGTAAAGAGGACATGAATGCAAAAGCAGCTGAGAGATTCTGGCTGCCTTCCAGTAAGCCAGACATTAAAGAGATTTGCAAAACTATGAAACCATGTCGTTCTCCTTAGTTTTTTGTTTTGGAAAACCTGAGTATTTCTTACCAAAAATTTGTTACTTATCACAATGTTATTTTTAATATTATAGGTTAAAATGGTTAAGAATTTTTAATTCCTCAGTATTAATTTCTAATACAGCACATCTTGATAGATATAACCCACATCAACAACATTTCCTTGGGGTTTCTCCACATTTTAAGAGCATACAGGGGTCCTGAAGTCAGACAATTTGAGGACCACTGCAGTCCAACCTGCCTTCCAAGGACTGCCTACTACCCAACCTGGGGGCCAGAGATGTGGGGGCATTGCTCCCACCCTGGTGCTGCTCCTGGGCTTTCCAGGAGGCTCAGCAGTAAAGAATCTGCCTGCGATGTAGGAGACGCAGGTTCGATCCCTGGGTCGAGAAGATCCCCTGGAGAAGAGAATGGCAACCTACTTCAGTATCCGTGCCTGGAGAATCCCATGGACAGAGGAGCTTGGTGGGCTAAAGTCCATAAGGTCACAAAGAGTCAGACATGACTGAGTGACTAGCACTTCTTCTGATGCTCCTGCTCCCCCACCTTCAGAGGCCACCACCACCACATTGAAAGGCTAATGGTGTGGGCAGTGGGGCTCTTCCCCACTCCATGTATTGGTTTTATGGGATGGGGAGGCCCAGTGGTAAAACCCCCAGGACCACCCAATGCCCAAGTGGCCGCCTTCTTGCTCTTGGCCAGACTCTGTTTTATTTATTTATTTGGCTTGCCATGTGGCATTCAGGCTTGTAGTTCCCTGACCAGGGATCAGTCCATGCCCCCAGCAGTGGAAGCTCGGAGTCTTGATCACTGGACTGCCAGGGAAGTCCCCTGCTAGACTCCACTTCCTAAGTTGTTTGCTGAAAGGGCAGGCCAGTTGCCCCCAGCCGGCCCTAGGTTTGCCCTCTGGGCCTGGCCAGGCTCTTCCCCTCCAATGCCAGCTGCCAGTCAGCCAATACAATGAGTGCCCTCTGTGCCAGGCGCTGCCTGCCACCGCAGCCCAAAGAGAGAAGCAAATATTAATTCCATTGGCAAGGGTCTGGGGCAGAGCTGCAGGGTCCCGACAAGGGAGGAATGAGGAATGAGGCAGAGTCAGCTGTGTGGAGGCTGCTGTATCCTGAGAGTCAGGAGGCCTTTCAGAAAGTGAGGCGCACACACTGCATGCAGAGGAGCACTGGGAGGCTGGGGAAAGCAGTGGTCAGCTCTGGCAGGGGAGAGAGGGAGGGGAAGCAGATACGGAGATCAGGGTGGGACAGTGCTTTGACTGAATCTACGGTATCTAAGGGAGTTCACTAAATTGTCTATCCCTTTTTATGTGCCTGAAATATTTCATAATTTTGGGGGAAAATAAGAAGGGGGGTGGGGGGAGTCATCACAGATCTCTACTCTGGTTAAGCACCTCAGAAGCTGTCACAATTCAGGCAGCCTGGCAAGGGACAGAGAACCACGAGACTGCCAGCCAGGAAGCCTGGGCTTGGCACTGCGGGGCTGCTCATGACTCTCAGAGCCTCCACATCTGAAAGCAGGGACGCTCGAAGGTCCCACCAACCTGGGAACTGGGGGACCCAAGGCTCCCCGCGAGTGAGGACTCAGCTCCGCCAACACCTGCGGGTTCCTCTCCCATGATGTTCGACCCACGCTCTCCCAGCTCAGCCCCCGCTCCACCCCCACCTCCCTCAGGGGTTAGGGGCCTGGAATGCGGCCCTGGAGCCAGGACAAGCATGTCCTCATCCCTGCCTAGGCAGGAAGCGGGTCCAGGCCAGAGACGGACAAAATACCAACCCCCCGGCTTCTGCGTATGTCTTCCACGATCTGAATGGATGCGGTGCTAGTCACCCTTCCCAGAAGTCTTTCCCAATCATCTCACGTGCATCCTAACTGTTCACTGGGGGAGCTGTCTGGTCTCTTAAAGGGCCCTAGGAAGGAAGGGTATTGGCACCATGTACATCCAAGGGGCCGTCAGATGGGCACCTCTGTGGCAGCTCCACTTGCCCTCTGTCACCTCACTGTGCCAGGGAGGGGCTGAAACAGATGGCTCTCTGATGTTCCACACTCAAAGATTCTGGAAGCCAGCTTAAGGGAAAAATAAGGAGGTCAGAGCAATTCCCCTGTGACTCAGCAATTTCTGGGTTAGGAAACTGAAATAAGGGCCTGTGAGACGCCCTCTCTCTGTCCACTAGCTGCGCTCCAGTGGTGCCTCCCAAACACCCATGTATCCACCCCCACATCCACCCATGTAGCAAAAAGGGCTGAGCAGGAGGAAGAGGAAGATGACCATTCGGGGTGTTCCAGATCCCAGCTCTCCGTTAACAAGCAGGCACAACCTGCCCCCGCTGCTCACTTCCCCTGCTCATAGGCCTGGCCTCCAGATAAACACCAGCCACATCTGGAAGCAGGCCAATCCCCACTCACGCTGGTTCCTGCCTCTGCCCCTCTACCTCTAGAAGAGGGACCGCCCCTAACTCCACCCAGGTGGTCAGTGAGCCAGCCAGAGCCCCCGGGGTCCCTCCCACGCCTCAGGCCTGCTCACTTCCCTGGGACACTCTAGACTGCCGGAAGCCTGGTCTGCACGGCTCTCTCGGGGCAGAGAGGATAGTTTCCCAGGCCCACCTAGCTGCGTGTCCATGCACTCCTTGCTCCAGCCCTCCTGCTCATAGGCCTGGCCTCCAGATAAACACCAGCCACATCTGGAAGCAGGCCAATCCCCACTCACGCTGGTTCCTGCCTCTGCCCCTCTACCTGTAGAAGAGGGACCGCCCCTAACTCCACCCAGGTGGTCAGTGAGCCAGCCAGAGCCCCCGGGGTCCCTCCCACACCTCAGGCCTGCTCACTTCCCTGGGACACTCTAGATTGCCGGAAGCCTGGTCTGCACGGCTCTCTCGGGGCAGAGAGGATAGTTTCCCAGGCCCACCTAGCTGCGTGTCCATGCACTCCTTGCTCCAGCCCACCTGCCTCAAGGAGCAGGGCCCTGCTTGGCCCGGGGCAACAAAGGCACACAGCTGGTCAGTGAAAGAACCCCCAGTGGCTGGGTTAGAGGTGAGGAGCCAGGAGGAGCCCAGGGGGGCCCACAGGGAAATGCAGACAGTGAGCCACTGAACCCGGGGCCCACTCTGTTCCCACAGCCCTCTCCCCACCCCTGGTTGTCTCACTCACAGCTCACGGGAAGAACCCAGAGCCCGCTAGACACCCAGTCAAGCTTTCCAATATTACTCTCTATTTTGGGCTACTAGACCTAGAGTCGGTCTTCTTCCCAAGGGTTCCCAAGCAAAACCATTTCTCCAGCTTCTCCTCCAAGCCACTTCTTCCCAGACACCCACCAGGATCGGGGAGAGTGGGTCTCCCCACCCAGGCACATTTTCCCAGGGGCTCCAGGAAAGCAGCAGCCCCCAGCGGCCCCGCCTGGCACACAGCGGAAGGAGTGCGCTGGGGCTGCCCTCTGGTGACTTGGCAGTTTCTGAAAATGCCAAGTCAGAACTGGGGTGCTCACAAATCTGCTGATGATTCACCCCCAAAAGAGGAAGAGGCTGACTGGCTGCAGACGCGCTCAGCACCCACTCACGTGGCGCGGACGTGTGGCCCTCACTGCCCCCACCCACCTGCCACACTGCTACCACGAGGGCCACGACCACGGCCGCCACTACCACCATCGCCGGGCATCTTTGGTGCTGCGACGGCTGCCAGGGAGGTGCCAGGACCCTGCCCCAGCTGTTGCTGCCCTCACACCGCTCCGCACGGGCAACTCTATAGCTGGCCTGTCTCGGAGCCTAAGCAATGTTTTCAGGGAGGGAGAGAAGGCAGGACTGGGTCAGAGGGAAACCCTGGGACTCCCCAAGGCTGCCCCCCAACAGGAAGCTGCAAGATGGGTGATTCAGGGAAAGGACAGGCAGCTGTTACATTCTAGACCTGAATGGGGGCCTCACACAACACGCCTGTCGGCAGCATCTCCTCCCATTCCTTAACAGAAGAGGAATCTGAACCCCAGGAGGCATCGATACGCCTACAGTCACACGGCTCCGTGGGGCTCACTCCATCAGGTCAGACTCCACACACCCAGCTCGGCTTCCGGGGTGGCCCTTCCTCCTCACCCCCAACCAGCCCCCTCTGGTCACGTCTCATTAGGGCAACCCCTGGGCCTCGCCTGAGGAGTCACACCGCCATCCAGAGGGAAAAGCAGCAGGGCTAACGGACAAGGGAACAAACTGCAAGGACAAGAGAAGCAGGAGGAACATGGCAGGCGGGGGGAGCGGGGCGTGCAGAGGGGAAAGGAGCCAGGGGTCTGTAGATAACTGAGCAGAGGGGGGCAGGCTGGTTCCCCAGGAGGACAGGAACCCACAGGTGGGGAATCCAGGCAGGCATAAGGAGCAGCCCAGCCAGGCACCTGCTCACCCTTCCTTGGAGACCCCCAGTGCTGGGCTTGGCATTGCTCAGGCTGCGGTAACCTATGCCCCTCTTACAAGGCAGAAACCCCACCTCCATTCCTCCTCTATCCAGATAGTAGTCGGTAAGCTTCAGGGCAATGAGCAAATCTAGTTATTTTTAGTTAGTCCATTTAGGGCTCTTTTGGCAGAGTTTAGTTACCAATAAGCTCATCCTAATGTAGAAGCATTATCCTCACATGTACTTTTTTCCCAGAGTGCTTTCCCACACATATTATTTCATGGAGCTGTGTAACCCTGGGTAAGCTATTTATTTACATTAAGCCTCAGTTTAAGCCTGACCTGTAAAACGGACACAGGAATAATGCCTAACTAATTAAGGATTAAATGAGATGACAGAAGCAGTTTGCTTAACAGGGTGGCTGACACATAGAAAGCGTTTAAAAAAAAAAAAAGGTGAGCAAATAGAAAAAAATATGTTTCCTCTTCTCACCAACTCTACAACACAGAGAGGTTAACATCATGCCCGAAGATGCAGAGCGCGCACAGAGCATTGGTAGGCACGGGACCTCCACCAGCGCGCGGGCGTTCTCGACACCAGTGTTAGCCTCCTCTGCCCTGCTGAAGGCACAGAAAGGGAGGCTGGCGGGGTTGAACCGACCTTGGCCCAGCAGCCACAGCAGAAGGGTGGTACAGAGACACCGACGTGGTGGAAAGAAAACGTCAGCTCCCCCCAGACCCCTAGCGTGGTCCTGAGTCCCTGCTGAGGACTCTGCCGGGGCTGGGCTCCACCCTGGAAGGAGGCAGCCGGGCTTCCCCGGGAAACCCAGCCCTCCTTTCCACTGACTCCTTCTCCGCGCTCACCCAGCCTCCAGGAAAGGGGCGCGGATCCCCCAAAACAAGTACGTGTGTGTTTGGGTGTCTTCACGCCTGGCCGCCCATAAGAGGTGGTGAGGGTAGCGGGCGCGCAGGGGCGCTGTCACCGAGGCACAGGGTGGAGAGTGGACAGGCTCACCCGTGGGGCGCGGGGCTGGTGAAAACTGCAGAGGCGGAACATCGGGGCCCCGGGCCTGGGGCGGGCATCGGGTCCCCGAGGCCCCCGAGGGATGTCCAGGAGCCCGGGCCCACGCGGGGCCTGCTCTGCCCACGGACGTTCTTGGGTAAACACGCCACCCACTCCCCGGGGAAGCGCCGCCCGGGAGGAGCTTCCCGGAGCAGCCGCCGGCACCTCCCCGCAGCCGGGCGCCCGAGCCGCGGGAGCCGGACCCCAGCGCCCCCCGCGCGCCCCGGGGTACCTGCGAGCCCCCCCATGGCCGCGGTGCCCGGCTGTCTGTAGACCACCGTCCAGACGAGGAAGATGGAGAAGCCGGCCACGGAGCTGAGACCCGAGTAGGCGGCGCGAAGGCCGAGCTGCAGGCGGGACGGGGCCATGGGGCTGCGGGCTGCGGACGCCGGGCGCGGAGGGCGAGCGCGGCCGCTGGTCACAGGTGCAGGGCCCGGAGCCGGAGCGGGGAGCCGGGAGCCGAGCCGGAGCCGCCGGCCGCCCGCGCTCCGCCCCCGGCCCGCCCCCTGCGCCGCCGGCACAGCGCCCTCCCCGGCCGGAGGCCGCCCGCGCCCGGAACCACCGCGGCTAGCTCGGCCTGGGCTTGCCTGCAGTCTGCGGCCCGGATCTCTTGGGGATGCCGCCTAAAAGGGCAGGTTCCGGGGCCCGTCGTCCGAGCTACCGTATCAGGATATTTAAGCCTCGGCGGGGCCCGGAAACACTCAGCTCTACAAATCAGCCGCGGTGTTTGCTTTTAACATTTATCACGTTCCCGTTTAAAATTTAAGATGTAAATTTCTCTTTAAAAATCAATTATAAAAAATTAAGATATAGGAAATTACACAGCGAATATGATTGCTTTCGCGCCTGCGCCTATCCATCCATCAGGTTCCCTCCTCAGGCGTTAAGCAAGTCTCAGCAGATGCTTCTCTTGGAACCCTTCTGGTCTTCTGACCTCAGACTCCCTCCCTTCAAGGACAGCTCCTTTTTCTTATCTCCAAAAGTGTACCCCTCCCACCCCAACTCTACCCGAACGCCACTTCCATCAGAGTCAGACAAAGCCAAGGAAGAGACTGGAATCTGTAGCAGGTGTATCCTGAGCTTGGCTGCGGGTCCAGCGCCATGCTGGGAGCCCGCAGAGAAGATAAAAATGTAGCACACGGAGCCCTCAAACGCTTACAATATAGTGGAGGAGGCTCATCTCATACTGGCACGAAGAAAGTATGCAATATACCTTGTATTTATTTCTTTTCCCTGCTGTAGCAAACTACCACAGATCTAGTGGCTTCAAATAACATACATTTACTGTCTCACAGTTCTGTAGGTCAGGTGTCCAAAAATGGAACTCAGAGGGCTAAAATCTAGGGGAGGGCAGGACAGCCTCCCTTTGGGAGGCATGAGGGGAAAAGCTGTTTCCTTGCATTTTCAGCTTCTAAAGCTGTCCACATCCCTTGACTCTGAGTGTCCTCGAAGCCAACTCCTTCATCTTCAAAGCCAACAATCACACCACCCCGACCTCTGCTTCTGTCATTACATCATCTTTTCTCTCTCACTAACTCTGCTGCCTCCTTCTTTTCCCTTATAAGGACCCTTGTGATTAAGAACCTGGATAATCCAAAGTAATTTCCCCATTAAAATCCTTAATTTAATCACACCAGCAAAACCCCTTTGGCATGTGAAGTAATAAATTCACAAATTCTGGGGATCAGGACACTGACATCTTGGTGGCCCATTATTCAGCTATCACATCTCTCTGGAATGTCATCTCCATGTACAGCAACTGTGCCTCTTTTATTCACACCAACACATAAAACAGTTTCCAGCACATCAAATCCCCTTGGTAAACATTTGTTGAATGGATGAATGTGAGTGAATGAAGGTAAGAATTAAATAACAATAAAGGAGATCATATCTAGTTAGGACATGATTAGTTGCCAAGTGAATGATGTAAACCACATTTGCCTCACTTTTTTTTTTTTTTTTTGGCTGCCCTGGATCTTCATTGCTTTTGCACAGGCTTTCTCTAGTTGCAGCAAGTGGGAGCTACTCTTCCTTGGGGTGCAGGGGCTTCTCATTGCGGTGGCTTCTCTTGTGGAGTACAAGAGAAGTCTCTAGCGTGCCAGCTCAGTAGTTGTGGCCGGGGCTTAGTTGCTCTGAGGCATGTGCGGTCTTCCTGAGACTAGGGATCTAACCTGAGTCACCTGCATTGGTAGGCAGATTCTTATCCTCTGAGCTACAAGGGAAGTATTTGCTTCACTTCTGAATAGTCTGGGAAGCTTCTTTAAAAAAAAAAAAAAGACCCCAGAATCCACCCCTGCCTTATTAAGTTTGAATCTTGTAAGTATATATATATATATATATTTTAAATGAGAAGCGATTTTAATTTGGTGATCTCAGTATCCACCCCTCCTTTGGGAGCTACTGATGGAGGGAGTTACTGCTGGCTGTTCCAAGGAGGGAGCAGGCCCTGTGGTCCAGAGTACACTGCCGTGGATGACTTCAGAGCTGGCCTGCAGGGTTACACTCCACGCAGTGGGAGCAGCCTGAGTGACAGCCCAGAAGGAAGAAATAACGTGGCAGGTTTGGGAAACTGTAAGTAGTTTGTGGTCTATGGGTGGTGTAAAGGGTTTTGAGGTTGGAATTATTCTGAGTGAAAATGGCCTTGCTTGCTCTTCTTAGAAGGTTTCCCCTTCTCTGTGGAGCCAGGGGAGGGAAGTAACAGTTCTGTGTTTAAGAAATGTGGCCAGGGTAATAGTGTGAGGGTGAACTTCCTTTGAAAAGACCAGAAAGCAGAGAGGCCATTCAAATCCTTCATTTCTCTATGCTTTAGTTGTCCTATCTGTAAAATGGAGACAGCTGTGTTGTTTGCTTCAAAGTATTTTGTGAGGAGTCAGTGCTTAGAAGAGTGACTAGTATGCAGTAGGTGCTTCGTAAACATCAGCGAGTATGGTTAGTAGCAGTGGAAAGGCTGTAAGGGCAAGAGATGATGAGGGGAGAATGGAAGGTGGTTCGGGCTGAGTCAGCGAGAATGGGGAAGAGGGAACCGATTCAAGAAATATTTATGCTATTTGAACCTTAAGGTCAGGTAGCAATTAACTAGCTGGGCAGATAGAAAGGAGGAGAGCAAAAATATTTATGAATGCACATGTCAGGACTATTGGAAAGGAGTGAACAAACTTGTTACACTGGAGAGTGAGGTTGTGCAAGAAAATAACGAGAGATAATTATGTAACAGTAGCTTGGGCCCAGGATATAACACAAGAAGATTTAAGAGCAGGCTGAAACTTTGGCTTAACTGTGAAAGCAATAAGGAGCTGTTGAAGAATTTCATGCTCAGATGCGGTTACCACTTACTATGTCACATGAGTAGGTTTCCCCTAACTCAGGAGAACTTTCTGCCCAGAAGAAAACAATTTTCTATATCTGCCCTCTCTGCACTGGTAGCTACTGGTCACATGTGGCTGTTGAGTATTTGATATGTACCTAATATGACTGAAGAACTAAGTTTTTAATTGATTTTAATCTAAATGGCTACACATGGCTTGTTGTTCAGTTGCTCAGTTGTGTCTAACTCTTTGTGANCCAAGCATCTTTTAATTCCGTGGCTGCAGTTACCATCTGAAGTGATTTGGGAGCCCAAAAAATAAAATCTGCCACTGTTTCCACTTTTCCTCCATCTATTTGCCATGAAGGGATGGGACCAGATGCCTAGTGGCGAGTGGCTACACATGGCTAGTGGCTGCCATATTAGACAGCACGTTAGACAGTACAGGAATCTCTCAGAATCTCTGCTGCTTTATCTGCAGGGTGGGAATGATGCGTAATCGGCTTGTTACAGCAACTGAGAAATACTGAGATGCCGAAGTTAAAGCACTCAATGCAATAATCTGACAAATTATTATTGCCATTTTTAAAATTCTTGTTATTGTTATTACTGAACATGGATAGCACAACAAAAACCATGTCTTAGGAAAGATTATTTAGACTTTAGTATCCAAGTTAGATTTGATGGGAAAAGAAAATTGTAGAGGGGAAAGCATTCACAATGCTATTTTAACGATATGATGTGGGATAAAGATCTTATCTGGGGACTTTCCTGGTGGTCATTTAGACTCTGAGCTCCCAATGTAGGGGGCCTGGGTTCGATCCCTGATCAGGGAACTAGATCCTGTATGCCACAATTAAAAGATCCTGCACACCACAACAAAGATTGAAGATCCTATATCCACAACTAAGACCTGGAGCAGCCAAATTAAAAAAAAAAAAAAAGAGAAAAGAAAGATCTTACCTGGAGAAAGGCCAGGAGAAGGGAAAAGCATGAGAGGATTATGAAGCTGCAAAGCACACAGGTGTGCATCACACATGCTCTTCTCCCCACATCAGCTTCCTTTCCTTTCAGAGAGCGAGCTCTCATTGCAATCCTAACCCAAGAAAACACCACTCCCCTCACCCAATATCCCTAAGAGAGGCAGCCACTCTCCCTGCCTGCGGCAGAGACCAGCAGTGCTTACCAAGAGCATCTCTTTTTCTGGCCCATGACCTACTGAATTGGAACTTTGAACACTTCCCAGCTTCCTTGCAGTTAAGGTGATGCTATCAGAGATGGTTCTGAGCACTGGAATCAAAGCAGAAACAATGTGCCCCATTTCCAGGCTGGACCCGTACAGTCTCCTGTGCACCATGCATTCCCTCCTCCCATTCTGTGATGACTTTAGAAGCCACATATTGAAGACAGCTGTGCCACATGATAGAAAGAGCCTGGGACCCTTAAATGAATGAATGAACAGAACTATCCACTCCATTCCCCCAGACCCTCCCTGGACTGTGAATGAAAAACACTTTTTTGTGTGTGTGCACTAAGTCACTGAGATTTCGGGCTTGTTACAATTAACCTCATTACCCTAATTTACCTTCCCTCATTCCATTTCAGGTCATGTAAACATCTCTTACATGGATAACCTCTGATGTCACTTTTAAATTGGACCACATCAATATTAAGAGACTCCTGACTCCCACCCACGGGGCATCTTGTCTCCTAAGACATTTCTTTCTCACTCCTCCTAAGCAGGCATATTCCAGACATAGATCTCCTCCCACAATGTCGACTCATTGGAAAAGACCCTGATGCTGAGAAAGATTGAGGGCAGGAAGAGAAGAGGGTGACAGAGGATGAGATGGTTGGATGGCATCATTGACTTGATGGACACAAATTTGAGCAAACTCCGGGAGGCAGTAAAGGATAGGGGAGCCTGGCATGCTGCAGTCTGTGGGGTAGCAAAGAGCTGGACATGATTGAATGATTGAACAACAATAGCACAATGCTAGGAGCTATACGCCAGTTGATTGAGTTTATTAGATGTGTCGGGGCTTCCTCCTCACTGCTTCTTAA